AACCGTATTGGGCTATGTGATCCTTGGCTCCGCCCCCATTCTAGATAGTATTTCGGCAACCTCTTATTGTGGTATGGCTGTCGAACCGCTCGAGTCGTTAGTCCGCAAATTTTGGGAGATGGAGGAGGTGAACGTCCCACCCATAGCTAGTTCAGATGACAGGTTATGCGAGGAAATTTACGTCCGCACGACCGTTCGTGATCGCGACGGTAGATATAGTGTAGCGCTACCCTTTAAAGGAGATGTTTTATCTCTCGGCGATTCGCGTCAAATGGCAGAAAAGCGTTTCTACAGCTTGGAGCGTAGGATGCTCGCTTCGCCCCAGTTAAAGGAAGCTTACGACGGCGTCATTAACGAATATATAAGAGAAGGTTACATATCGCTTGTGGCTTCGAAATTAGATAACTACGAAGACACACCGTCGTATTTTATACCACACCACGGAGTCATTAGAGAGGACAAACTTACATCTAAATTACGTGTAGTGCTCGACGCTAGTGCTAAAACTAGCACTCACCTGTCGCTTAACGATATCCTCTATAGTGGGCAAAATTTACAGGGCAGTTTATTTAATATAATAGTCAATTTTCGTTTGTTTAGTATAGCACTATCCGCCGATATTCGCCAAATGTTTCTTTGTTCCAACGCATTTTATATCGTTTCAACCCAAAGGAACCTCTAATGGTGTTTGAATTTAACCGCGTTTGTTTTGGTTTAAAGTCGAGCCCATTTCATGCGTTACGCACGGTGAGACAGCTCGCTCACGATGAAGGTCCCTCTTATCCTAAAGCTAAGAGGGCAATTGAGAGCGGATTATATATGGATGATTTTGTGTATTCGGTCGATAGCGTGGAGGAGGCCACCCTAACCACCGCCGAGGTTATAAGGCTCATGAAATCGGGTCAATTCGATCTTGTGAAGTGGACTAGTAATTCGCGTACGGTTTTAGATACAATCCCACTATCACACCGTCTTTCGGCGATAAAGGAATTCGACGATTCCGATACACACAAGGTGCTCGGTCTGTGTTGGTCACCAGAGTCCGACGTGTTTAGCCTTAAGGTGAATCCGCCCGTAGAGAAATGCACAAAGCGCACAATACTGTCATGCGTTGCTAGATTATGGGACGTCATGGGTTTCGTAGCTCCGGTGGTATTGTACGCTAAGCTTTTGATTAAACAACTTTGGTTATTTGAATGCGATTGGGATGACTCGCCGCCTGACAGCATTGTTCGATTGTGGCAGCGCTTTAGAGAGGAACTTCCTTTACTAAGAGAAATTAAAATACCGCGTCATATAAATGTCGATAGAAATAGCAGCATAACGGTCGTTGGATTTGCAGACGCCAGCGAGAAGGCTTACGGGGGCGTTGTATATTTCCATGTCCAGAATAATGGTAGAAATTCGATTAGCCTCATTAGTTCTAAGTCGAGAGTCTCCCCCCGTAAGGTTGTCTCTCTGGCGCGCTTAGAGCTTTGCGCAATATTAGTACTCACCAAGCTTATTACCACAGTTATCGGCGCATGTAGGGATAGAGCTCACATAGAAAGGATATTTGCCTTTTCCGACTCCACCGTCGCCTTATGTTGGGTTCATTCTTCACCCCACCGTTGGGATACGTTTGTCGCGAACCGAGTGGCCAAGATCCAAGACGAGTTAGAAACGCGGAACTTCTATCACGTGTCCGGTAAGGAAAACCCTGCCGATTGTCTATCCCGGGGACTCACCCCGATGCAAATAATGGACCACCCGCTTTGGTTCCATGGACCTTCTTGGGTTCACTTGGATCCCTCACAATGGCCAATAACCGATTTCGAACCTTCGTCAGTGTCACAACCGCCGGAAGAGAAGAGACACGCTCTAGTGGCGAACGTTTCGAGCGAGGTTTCTCCAATCATTGCTCTGGCGAACCGCTTGTCCTCTTGGTCGAAATTATTGCGTAGCGTAATTTACGTTTGTCGATTCGCGAAGCTTTTACCGCGACGTTCGTATATCTTAGCATCCGATTACAACTATGCCGAGTCGCTAGTATTACGTGAACTTCAACGTGCGCACTTCTCCGAAGAAATTACAAGATTACAATCGAATAGAGCTTGTAGTCGCGCCTTTCAACGCCTTAAGCCATTTTTACAGGATGGGATTGTAAGGGTAGGTGGACGCTTGTCCAACTCGCAATTGAGTTTCGACCAACGGCACCCTATAGTTTTACCGCGTAAAGACCATATCATGAACTTATTAGTCGATTATCATCATAAATTGAACTCGCACGCTGGCCCCGATTTATTGATGTCGATCTTGCGTCAGAATTATTGGATTCTTTCTGCACGTAGTTTAATACGCAATCGGGTGCACAGATGTATAGCTTGCTTTCGGGCGCGCCCCAAGCCGTCATTTCCGGAAATGGCGGAACTTAGATCTTGCAGAGTGATACAATCAGTAAAGCCCTTCACGCACACCGGGTCTGATTTTGCTGGTCCGTTTAAGGTCACGCTCACTCGCGGGCGTGGTATAAGATCCACAAAGGCTTACGTCTGCATTTTCGTATGTCTAACTACTCGAGCAGTGCATATAGAACTCGTGGGTGATCTAAGCACAGCAGGCTTTATGGGTGCATTTAAAAGATTTCTATCCCGCAGAGGCCCTGTAAGTAAATTATATTCGGATAACGGTACGAACTACGTCGGTGCAAAACGTATTCTATCGGAACTACATGAGCTCTTAGCTAGCAAGTATTATAATTCGGAGTTCGCTCACATTCTAGCCGAGAACCGCATTGAGTGGTCTCTGAACGTCCCAGCCGCGAGTCATTTTGGGGGCAATTGGGAGACTAATATTAAAAGTCTAAAGAGCCACTTATACCGAGTAATAGGAGATCAAATTTTGTCCTTCGAAGAGCTAAGTACAGTGCTCGCTCAAATTGAATGCGTAATGAATAGCCGCCCACTTTGTCGGACGTTATCTAGTGACCCCTCGGAACCGCTGGCTCTAACTCCAGCACATTTTTTGAATTTAACACCTCTAAGGTATCTGCCCGCCGCGGATATGGATGAGAACAGACTTAGCATTTCCGCACGCCACAAATTATTAGATCGGTTAGTGCAATCGTTTTGGAAACGATGGAGGATGGAATACTTGCATACTTTGCAGTCTCGGCAAAAATGGAACACAGCGACAGAGCCTTTAGCGGTAGGAACTGTAGTTGTGCTCACTAAGGAGAATACGCCGCCTCTCCACTGGCCGTTAGGAATCGTCGAGGAGGTCTTTCCCGGTTCCGACGGAGTAATTAGGATAGCTCGCGTTAAGACCACGGTTGGGTCTTACCTACGTCCTGTTGTCCGTTTGTGCCCCTTGCCTCTTCCATAATTTAAATTAGATTTCTAGATTAAAATTGTAGTTGAATTTAGGTAATCTTAGCGTTAGTTAGTTATTTGTTAGTTGATCTTAGCTCTAGTTGTTTAGTTATTTTTTTGAAGGAAATCCTTCAAGGGCGGGGGGAGATGGTTGCGCGGAAAACCATTCGCGTTTTTTATTTATGACGGTAGGAACTTGCTGAATCATTATTCCTTTCCAAAACGATATCATTCGTACCCTCCTATCGACACATCGGGGTGATGGGGTGGGAGGGGAAAGAAGACGATTCTAGAACATCGCGTAATCACCGGAGCCGAGGATATATAAGACACGCGCGACCGACGCGCGCTCCCTCTTCCCGCGCGCTCGTTTGGAAACACCTCACTAGTGGAAACCGCTTTGGCTTGGAAGCAGTCGAGCTCCAGGAACCCGCCTCACCTCGTGTGAGATATCGTCGCGCACCGCCCCTCTCCGGAGTGTTCCAGAAGTCGCTATAGTGATCGACAGGATAGAAGAACCCCGGTGAGTCAATATTCCTTAATTTACTGCCTGATTAATATTTAATAATTGTTTTAACCCGTTCCAATTCTGTGTTCTCCTCATCAGGCAGGATTCCTTTCATCGATTTGGCAAGTAATAGTTTTAGTTTAGGGAAGAGCGAGAGCATTGTACCGCATGCTATAGTAGTCGCTTTTACGTAAGCGTAGAAGCAAACGCAAATACAGTCCACTTTAGTTAATATCTCGCGTAATAGGTTTGAGGTTTGACCGGGGAACTAGATTTTCGGCAGCCTTAAACACGTGGCTCCACCATTTTATGGTCACTTCGGCAGGATCTGGATTGGTGTTTAGTGGTTATCCAACCATTTTCTGGTAGAATTATTAAATTAATTGTTTAGATAACGCACTCTAATTTATGGAATAGACTTAAATAGTGTTCGTTTAAATTAAAAATTTGATTTGGTACTCGCAAACAGAATTATTCATTTAATAGCGCTCGTATTTGGTTAAATTTAAAGCTTATTAAACAATTGAAACGGTGTGATAGCAACCGTTTGATACGCTTACCCCACAATTTTGATAAAATTATTAGGTTTAGCAAACGACGCGTAGACTCCACCGCAACGGGTGTTCGATCTAATTACGTAATACGGCACGCCGAGTGTTCATCCTACGTCGTTCATGCGTGTGAGATTAATTGTGATTAATATAACTTTATTATAATAATTTAAAATGGCAGTTAGTGGAAGTGAAATCAAAATTAAAACGCTTTATGCCAAGAGGGACATACTCTTTTCGCGTGTGCAGAATATAAGTGATTATATAAAGAACATTAATATAGAAACTCTCGAAACGTCGGGTATTTAAAAAGTTAAATATACGCGATAAAATCCGTAAAAACTAGTATTATTTCAATGTGTAGTGTTCGCGTAAATATAAGAAATCATAGACTTTATATTTTTAATTATAATGTATAAAAATATTATGAATGTGAGCTAACCGATTTTGTTGATTTTTATTTTCCCGAAAGTCTTTAGTTTTACTTTCCCGTAACGTGACAGAAACTAGAGGTGTTCCTCGTATAAAAATATCAACTGCCTAGCACTAGAATTCAGAGTTATTCAGTATAATTATAAAGAAAATGTTTACCATATTTGGGGGCATAAACCCAGGGAGAGATGCACGTTGACGACCCCAAGTGTTAGGAGCGTGTCCGAGAGTGTTCGATTGTTCTTGGTTCGGAACGGCTGGTGCGGGTGCGTGATGCATCGTCGCAGACAGATATGGCATGCTGCCCAGATAGCTTGCGTGCGCGCTCGCCGCAACATTCATTTGGAGGTGTGGGTGCACTGACGATGGTTGAGCACGTTGAGCCGTAAAGTGGTTTGGATTAGAAATCGCTGCAGCAGATGTATGCGTCGAAGATATTTGATTCGTTGACATCGAATTTAAAGTCATACGACGTTGATCTGGTGTGGGTAGTTTAGGGCTGGCACTCAATCTATCACCGCTAATCTAAAATAAAATAATATATAATATCAAAAAATCATTAATTGTGTTGTTATAACATGAGCATTAATATATAATAAACGAAAGAGAATAACGACTCGAAAGGTAGACGATATAGTTTTTCTTCTGCTTTTAAATGTTAATAACGTAGTTGCTTAAATATAGAGCACAATGAAAGTTCTGTGCTCCTGGCCGTCATTAAGGTTAAAATTACAGCCTATATTCGTCCCAATGCTGGACAAAGGCCTCCTCTCATTCCTGAGAGGGTTTTAGGGCAAGGAAATGTCCGCCGCGGTGCCCCAATGTTTGATGGCGGACTTCACATGTCTTCGAAATATTCTCATGATGTTTTCTTCACTGCCCAGCACATGCTAAAATTGTAATTAACAATTTAATTGTTGTCAGCGGGGTTAAACCCGTGTTGTCCGCGTACTGTGACATTTACAGCGAGTGCTAAGCCTCTAAGATCTGGCCGTTCATAAATGTCTGGATTTCAGAAGTTATATGTTTTAAAACATAAGAACTTCATATATTGATTTAAATTTTTTTTTGTGGGAAGTCGTGTGTCAATTTTTTTTCTATCGCAAGTGGAAGTTCGTCAACCGTAGCAAAAATGGAATTAAGACAAAGAGGTTTTAGGGTAAACATTTTTGAGTTTCTAGAAATTGCACTGCCCGCTTTCAAAATGCTTTTGGTAGGAAAACTTTAATTTGAGCACCGTAAGGTGGATTCCTCATATACTAGTAGTATGATCACGGTTCAAATGCAGTGTATCACACTGTGACAGGAGATGCAACGTATATTAGATATATTTGCATTTCGGTAAGAAAACAACAGTTTTCTGTATGGATTTGGAAGGCACATCAACAAAATCGGTGCAGGCAAGAAGCATGGGCAAAAATAGGATTGCGTTTTTTTTTCTTCAGACGGGTCCTGCCTGTTAAAGTTGATGTTAATGCTGAATGGTACACCACCATTTGTTTTTCCGGGAATAAGGACTCAAAATAATAAAAAAAAACTACAGGTCGGCAACCCGCCTGCCAAACGTGGCGAGCAACAATGGCAAATGAGGCAGTTCAGCAGTAGATTTTTGAAGATAGAAAAACGAAACAAAGTATACGAAAATGCACTTCATTTCTTTGTACTACACAATTTACATTCATTCATAACAGCCTATCAACAGCCCACCGCTGAAATTGTGCTTGCCCTAAAGACCAAATCTTTAAATCGAATCATATTGTATATGCCGTAGTTACAGGCGTAGTTCTGCCGGTCGCCTCTAGCGACGCCCACGGGATGGTAAGTAGTGTGGATTTTCTTATGCCGCTATAATAAAATAATTATTTCGTGTAAACATGTAAAGGATAACAAATGGGCCGAACATTTTAAATAATTAAATATTTTGAGGCAATTAATTAAAAAAAAATATACCTTATGTTTCCTTGGCGGAGGTACTGGCGGGCCAGTTTTCGGTGGAAGTGGGGGCCGTTCATCTCGCAGTTGGGACTGGGACAAAGCCTGTGTGGTTCAAATGTACTGACATAAATTTAACATTTCAATGGCAATTAAAGTTATGTTTAAGTTTGAGGAAGAAGAAACTTCTTATTAAGTAAATAGCCTATAAATGGTGTCGATACCAAACATTATCGACATCAACAGACAATCAAAATATCTAATTCTAAAGTTGGGCTCTTTTCCAAGAATGAGTCAGCGTCTATTTTTTCATATTTTCCAAGTGTTAAAGTTTTAAAGGGCATTTCCCACAATTATCACCTGTATGAAAATAGCGGTTATTTGTTTTTCCTAATATTTTTTAGCTCCTTTATATCGGCAAGTGCAAAGCCGAAAATAAAGCATACCCTTTTTTTAATTACGAATTCTTAATTCTGATTTTGCATAAGGATATTGGTATATTATCTTTTTTTAAAGTAAAATTAAATTTTATGTGTGCATGTTTCAAAGACAGTACAATGGCTATTTTTAATGCAACTACGATTTTGGCACGATTGCAATATAATGACGACTTAAATAATTATTGTACTACTTTCATGTACTATACAAATATTATTTCAAATACTTTGTATTAAAATATTTTAATGTGTAAATACTTATTAGTTAGTATTCCCAATTATTATTTATATTCATAACAAAAGTTATCTAATAAACAAATATTTTATATTGTCTAGCATATTATTAAGTTACTAAACAATTAAATTGTTTTATTTGCTAATGAATAAAAACATTGAAAATCCCGATTATTATAGTCTATGAAAAAAAAAAAATAATGAGTAAATTAGGTAAAGTTTGTGCTAAACCTGTCGCTGATGGTGGCGTCGCTTAGGATGACGATGATACATGTCATCACAAGAGGCGCAAAGTGCCCTGCGGCCGCACTCTGCGCAACGGACTCGCGCCCCTCCACCGCCGCAAAGTCCGCATGAAGCACCCGCCTCCAGCGGATGTCCTGGTGAATTTTCAACAATCATCTTTTTGTACATTCACATAAATCTTTGAAAAGCTAGTTTAGAACTGTGGTACAATAATGTTAATATAGCCTACTAAGAATCTCTTAAAACAATACATTTTTTTAATTTATACAAAACATATCTTGGCGAATACAGACATTGTTAGACATATTCCACTTTCATAGTATAGGACTGTTCTTTGAAACATGGTAATGGCACTTCCATGCAAAGTACTGAACGAGCTTGAACTCTAAATCGTAAAATATCCAAAATTGTGCCGTTAGGTAATCAATTCAATTTTTTAGATTCTGTAAGTTAAATTTCAAATTAAGTTCTTTAGAAGTTATTTTAATTCCGTACTTTAAGATTGTTTTATCATGGAGCAGAAATGTTGTAGTTTTATTCTTAAGAAAAGATAATAAAAACCTGTACAAAAACTACAGATCGATTTCTCTTCTAAACTGCGTCTATGTACTGTTTTCGAGAGTTATTAGGAATAGCATCGCACGCAGACTTAACGAGTTTCGGTTATCCGAATAAGACTATTTCCAAAAAGCTTTTAGTACCATAGACCACATATTATATATCCTTCGGCAGGTTATAAAGAAGACTGAGGAGTATTATGTCCCTTGGAAAAAATGTTCAATTAGATAAGTCTAACTTTGACCAAGAGGTCAACGGACGAATCCAACTCGGCTGGGTTTTTTCGAAAAACTGCGATAAATCTTTGTGTTCGATATTTTTCATAATCTAAGTACTAAAATGTGCAACCAGGGCGTGTTATTTCAAATTATGATTTACAGAAGCTCAAAGTCACTCAGTGTGCGATGGAAAGATAGCTTGAAATTTCTCTGGGGGATAAAATCCGTAAAGAAGATCAAGAGTAACTAACATCTCAGCGTATCAGTAGGCTAAAGTTGCAATTGACCGGCTATATAACTCGAAGAACAGACAACTGATGAAAAAGAAAGATATTCGCTGGATGCAGGCAGCTCAGAACCGTACCTTGTGCCAGTAGCCTGTGTTGAACAGTGGAATTGTAAAGGGATGTAGTGATCATAGATTCTATTATACGTACACAATAGAACGGGGGAGTGGGCGGTGCCCGTGTAGCCACTAACATGTCAATTCACACCTGTAAATGTCAACACATCTCTTTGAGGTCACAGTCGTTACCCAAATTTTGTGTCATTCGTTGATGGGTGTAATTAATTTCAAAAATACAGATTTGTGCGATAATTACGTGTCGGAAAAACAGCCAAATGTGGAATTTGAATAAAGGTGGTATATTCGTTCATCAATAAGTTGAAATTAATTATATTTTGTGAACATTAGAATCAAAAATAAAGAAATATTGACGTGTAAAAACAACAGCACTAGGGATGTAACCACGGAGCAAATACAAAGAAAAACTTTGTATTTGCTTCGTGGATGTAACAAAATTTTTATTGATACCGGTAAACCGGGAATTATTGTCGCTTTTAAAATTATTGTACTGGCTGTAATGACTAGCTAAATAGATGTGATCAAATACGATGTAAAATAGTAATTTAATGACCTACGAATAAATTGTTATAACATTTTTTTACTATATTGTCATCTATTCCCTCTACAGGTATCATTGAATATTTTCAGTAAAGTTTTTAGATTCAATCTTCTGGTTACGTATCATTACTACGTATTGTATGTTTACTTCACGCCCAATCACCCAAAAAGGATTCCATAAACCTACTTTGTGTTAAAAGTAAAAAATATATTTCCATACTTTTTCTCTTAGTAGACATATATATATGTTTTCATACTTTTTCTTCCAATTTTCGTCTTGCCTGGTGTTTGGTTTAACATACATATATGTACATTGGTACTTTTTTAGATAAGATAAGGTATATTTTTATCTATATATACTATTTTTGCAGTTTTCCTGGAGATTCGAACTAATACTTTCTTCAGACTGACTTCTCAGCCTCTATCGCAGTAAGATGGTTGAAACCGTGATATAGTTATTTCCCTAGGGATATAACTATGATACGTGCACCGTATAGTAATATAACTATCTTACTAGACTGATTTAGGGAAATAATTATAAGCATATGTTAACCAATAATGTTAGTCAAAACTACTTTTGACTTATACTTTTGAATTTTTTAATTAAAAAGTTCAATTCCTTCAATATTATATTTTATATCTTAGTAATGTACGTAAACCTACTGTCAAAAATTAACATGAAAAACAAGCAGCACTGCTAGCGCTGAGGTCTAACTTAGTGAACTCGATGCTAGTTGAAGACTGCATGAACCGTTTAAACACCCTGGGATGTAACAACAGGGTCGTTTTAAGATGGGTTCCGGGTCACGAGGGTATTGTAGGCAACGAATTTGCCGACAAACTTGCACGGGAGGGCTCAAAGTACACACAATTTGGAACTGAGCCATTTTGTGGAATCTCAAGAAGCCGAGCCTTCAGAGAGCCGATATTTGGCAAGTAGTAATATTTTACGATACTACACGCAATTATAAACGTTTTCATCATTATTACAGCCCCTACAAGGATGCGCTGCTCAGCGAGCTATGAAGAGGACTATGCTTGACAAAGTCCTTCACAAGTCCACTACTGAAAATAGAACACCCCCAAGAAATGCCACAAAACACGGTCCTGAACCACCTGCATCCATCGACTTCGTGCATGTCCTACCAGGTCGTCACTTCATCTTGTGAAGGAAGCCCTAAACTTCGCCTGCCGGTACGAGGATGCCGCTCGTGAACGTTTCTTCCCCATTGGCTTGCGCTTTCTAATCCGTTGGGCTATATCGGTTACTCTGGTTCTACTACGGATATTCTCGTTTTAAGTCTATTACGCAGAGAAATACCTTGCATAGCTCACTTAATAGCTCGCTGAAGGACTTTGAGCTTCCTCATACGGCCAGCGTCGTGGCAGCCAGCGAACTGGTCCTTGTCGCAGATGCATAAGTCATCACTGGCAACACGCACTGGTTGTACAATTGTGTTTTGAAATTATGAGGTATGTCTGACGAGAAAATGTATTGTCGTAATCTCCCAAACGTTGCCCAGCTGAGTTGAATCCGTGGATTGACCTCTCGGTTGAAGTTGGACTTACCTAGTCGGACTATTTGTCCCAGGTAAACTGTGCTCCCAACGAATACCGGTATAAGTGTAATATGGACGTAACACATGACTTGTTTTGTCCTTGTTCATCTTAACACCTATCCGTTGGGAAACATTAGAGGTCATTGAGCATAGTGCTTAGGCCCTCCAGCGATTCTGCCGGACTATATCGTCGGCAAATCGAAGATGAGTGATGTAGTCACCATTGACGTTAATACCGTATCTTTTCCAGTCCAGTAGCTTGAAAATATCTTCCAAGCAGCGGTAAATAGTTTCGGGGATATTACGTCACCCTCCCTGTCTTACACCTCTCTGTAGTTGGATAGGTTTCGTACCTTGGTTCTGTACTCGGATAGCCATCGTCGTTCTTCTGTACAAACATTTCAGCATTTCGATATACCGACAGTCAACTTGCCACCGCTGAAGGAACTACAGCACCGTCCAAATTTCGACGGAATCAAAGGCTTTGTCATAGTCCACATATGCAAGATAAAGTGGTAGATTGTACTATAATATGTATGTGGTCTATGATGCTCAAGTATTTTTGAAAACTGGCTTGTTCTGGAGGCAGGAAATCGTCGAATCTGCATGCGAGATGATTCGTAATGACTCGAAAACAGCACGTAGACGCGGCTCAGAAGAGGAATCGGTCTAAAGTTCTTCAACAGAGCATTGTCGCCTTTCTTGTAGAATAAGACCGTAGTGCCACCGTGGAAGACGCAATTAAAGAGCTTCAGAAGGACTTTAAGTACTGAATTTCCTAAGGATCAAATGTGTTGTCACCGCTGAGGACTAAGATGGAATGCCTCGATTTCAGTAAAAAGGGTCTCCAGTTCTCTACACTCACCATACGAAATACATCAGCATTGTGCTGCTATTTTAGGCTAGTATTCTGTGAGAGCGTGATCCTACCCCGATTGAGCCGACTCAATCGTGCTACAACTATAATATAGCTGCAGCGTAGCTCTACCAGGTAAAAATCACATTATCATTTAAAAAGTTAAGGCGGGAAGCTGACTCTTGATGAGGATCATTATTTTTTTGGGCTGGATTTGAAACTAAGACTGTGTACCATGTATCTGTTAGACAGTCATACGTTACTTATTTTGAGGTTACTAGTAGTGGAAAGATAAGGTGAGGACGGGTAGCATCAAAAGGTGAGCCGTTCGGTAATACGATTGCTGATCCGCTGCCATAATCAACAAACCTTAAACTATTTTCTTAAACTATTTTACATTCGATCACATGGTAAAGATAAGACATCCCTTTTAAGATAATGGTTTTTTTTATAGAAAAGGGGGCAAACGAGCATGCGGCTCACCTGATGAAACGCTTCAGATGGCCTATACAAATAAAAAATATAAATTTAAAAAAAAAACTTTAAAGTGATTACCGCCGCCCATGATCAACCGCAACACCAGGGGAATTGCAGGTGCGTTGCCGGCCCTTTATAAAGGAATAAGCTCTTTTCTTGAAGGTCCCCAGGTCGTATCGGTCCGGAAAAATCGCCGGTGGTAAACTATTCAATTTTAAAATTAACATGGTACTAAACGTGTTTGATTGGCGAAAATTCAAGCTCTTTCTGAAGTGCTTAGAGTGGCGCCTTATCCCGTTGAAATGACTTTACTTATGTTAGTTTCCTAATCACAATGTTGAAGGCTAGTGTGACTTAGTTTTATACAAAGAACATTCATAAGCCTGTTAGTAGTCTAATATTAGATATATCTATATTACATGTCATGTAAAGTAAGGGTTTGTTTCAAAACACAATTTTAAGTGAGTTGTTAATTTTTTAAGTGAGTTGTCGTACAATGTTGATCAAAGAAAATATATAGAGAAAAATTAATGATCTATGATATCCTCTTAACTATGATAGAGACTGAATGAGCAAGAAAATGAAGCAAAGAAAAGAAATATCAAACTTAGTAATAATACTGTTCAGACTCAGAGGCTTAGAAGTTATTGTGTAATAAAGACTACTTTGACAAGACCACATATATTAGGTCCTTTGAGCCGGAACAAATATGTTTGATTCTTAACGTGGTAGGATTTAATAACGGTCTGTAATTTTTTATAACTTGTATATTAAGGGTAAAAAAAAGAAAGAAAAGCAAGCGCGCGCATGAAGTCTTGTTTCCGTAGTAGCCGTCAAATACACACTATAGCTTCTAATCTCGAAGCGGGTCGATAAACGTGCTTAAATCAAATACGTTGCGAAGTCGTAATAATCACACTCAGATAAATGGGTATTTGTGGCTATTGAAAATAAAGCCACTGAACGATAAAAAAGAAAAAAAAGGAAGTTAGTTCTGATAATTATACGACAGAGTGTGTAACATTTGGTCTTCACGTTTAAGACGCAAGTTATGTATCGTTTGGAATATTATTAACGTAAGCGAAAAAGAAATATTTAACGTAAAAATCATACCTGTTGGCGGTCGTGGTGGAGGAGGAGGTGGTGGCTGCAGCTTAGCATTGACATACTGCTCTGAAGGGAATTCCACTACTTCGTAGTCAGGTTCAGGCTTTGCTAAGGGGACTCGTTGCGCAGTCGACCGTATTGACAGTATCGGTGTTGCGGGCACCGCAGTTCTGGGATCCCTGGCACGCCCTTTCAGCATCTATAAAACGTGTTAGGTTACTATTATGAGTGAACATATTCGACAGTGTCTGTATGGAGGGAGATCTAGAATAAGATTTTGGGTGAGGGGTGTTTATTTAACATTTTTTGTAATGGGGACTCTATCTTATCATTTAAGTTCAATTCCTTGACGCAATAAAATAAGAATCTCTTCATATTGTTACGAGCTTAGGGTTCGTGACAATAAAAATTGCTGAGAGAATTACCAAAATTAACACTTTAATTCACTTTACACTAATTAAACTTAAAACTAATAATTAATCAAACTGAATCACTTTATTTCGCTCCGAAGTTTCGCTTGTCTCGCCAAATTCAACACTTCCCCCGATCGCACCTTGCAGCGCCTATAAATACACATTAGCACCGAAACATCCAGAACATTCGCACACCATTCGACAAGGCATCGAAAGTTCAAGTGTCGGCTTCTAGAAGCTTAGTTCTTCGTTTCGACACCAGATGGCGCTGTCGGTTGAAAGATTAGTGATGTCATTTTCTGGAAAGCTCCTCCCGCTCTCGTCCCTGACACTACATGACGGCAACTTAGGCGCACAACACTGCCCCCTCCTAAGACATGCTCGTCCCGAGGATAATCGGCCCCATAATAACGCGCCAAGCGATCCACATGGACGATCTTAGGAGTCCCTCTTGCGCCTTTCTGCATCCGGTAGGTTACATCGTTGATCCTGGTTACAATTCGGTACGGGCCGTCCCATTTAGCTTGAAGCTTAGGAGATTTCCTTTTGCTGCGGACTGGATTGTGCAACCACACTAGTGAACTTTCGTCGAACCCTTTACTGTTCATTTTGCGGTCATCCCGGGTTTTCATCTTCTCAGACATTTGCTGGCCCGATTGTCTGACGTGCTCATAAATGTCATTCATTTTATTCCGCAAGTCGTTTGCATAATCGGTTATACTGCGTGGGGCATCAGGTGGTATCCCGGTGATCAGGTCTGCAGGCAGCCGTAATTCTCTTCCAAAGTTTGCGAAAGCTGGTGTCACTGATGTACTTTCGTGAACAGCGCTTCGATATGACAACAAAAACGGTTGTATGTGCTTCTCCCAATCTCGTTGCCGATTGTCTACAACTTTTGCTAGGTACCTCTCCAATATCTGATTAAATCGTACTACCATTCCATCAGATTGCGGGTGATAAGAAGTCGTTCTTGTTTTATGAGTGCCCATAACTCGGCAAGTTTCCTGGAATATTTGAGACTCGAAATTCCTTCCTTGATCGCTGTGAATCTCTAAAGGTACTCCAAAACGACAGAAGACTTCATGAACTAGTTTATCTGCAACTGTTGAAGCTTCTTGATTTGGAATGGCGAAGACTTCTGGACACTTAGTGAAGTAATCTATCACAACCATGAAATACTTGTTACCACTTTCAATCTCCGGAAACGGCCCCGCCACGTCAATGACTATTCTCTTCCATGGTGCACCAACATTGTACAACTTCAATGCACCTCTACTACGAGTCTGAGGTCCCTTTACAGCCACACAACTTGTTCATTTTCGACACCAGTCCTCGACATCGTTTCGACAGTGGACCCAGTAAAACCGTTCTCGGATCTTCAGTAGAGTTCGTTTAACTCCCAGATGGCCTCCTGAATAATCATTATGGTACAGCTGTAGAACATCCGGTACTTTAGCTTTAGGGACAACCATTTGCAAATGACAGCTGTCTCCCCGAACATTTTCCCATTTACGGCACAGGACTCCATCCTGAAGCAGCAAGCTGTCCCATTGGGCCCAATAACTTTTAGTGATTGAACTCATCGCTGAGACGTCACTCCACTTGGGCTTGGGAGCACTGGCCGTCATCCATTCCAGAATCGGCTTTATGTCCGGATCTTCCTGCTGTGCACGTTGTAAGCTGTCCTTCCACTCGTTGCTGAGGTGGTCTGCCCTGAGCATCCTCAAGGATACCACTTCCTTACTCTCTTGCCTAGTACAATGTTTGCAATCTTCAGGACAAGGTCTTCGTGACAATGCATCTGCGTTGCCATGAGATTTCCCGCTGCGATGTTCGATCTCAAAGTCGTATTCCTGCGGTAGTTCAATCCACCTCGCAACTTGTCCTTCTGGATTTTTAAACTGCAATAGCCATTTTAGTGCAGCATGGTCAGTTCGTAAGTGAAACTTTCGTCCCAGAAGATATTTGCTAAAATGCTGCAACGACTTTACCACAGCTAGCAATTCGCGTCTTGTGACACAATAGTTCCTTTCCGGTTTTGACAACGACTTGCTGAAGTACGCTATCACGACCTCTTGGTCACCATTCCCTTGAGACAACACACCGCCAAGTCACTTGCGTCTGTGTCAACTATAAATTCTTTGCTTGCATCAGGGTATCCCAAAATAGGTGTTTTGCACAGACGGTCCTTGAGCTCCTGGAATGCGATATTGCAACTTTCATCCCAGCAGAAATGTCGCTTCTCCTCGTTTAGCTTATGCAGAGGTTTGGCTATATCTGCAAAGTTCTTCACAAATCGCCGGCAATAGGTGCAAACCCAAAAATGCTCTAACCTGCGTTTTGTCTTTTGGAACCGGCCAATCCTTGACAGCTGCGATTTTCTCTGGATCCGTGCGGATACCTTCTTCCGACACTACATACCCCAAAAAGTTGACTTGCCGTTTGAATAGTGAACATTTCTTCGGACTCAACTTGAGGTTGGCACTCTGAATCTTCATGAGCACGCGTTCCAGGTTTTGAAGGTGTTCCTCAAACGTACGGCCCACGATGATAATTTTATCCAAGTAGACCAGACAGGCATCGCCAATTAGCCCGGTAAGTACAAGTTCCATCAGCCTCTCAAACGTTGCTGGAGCATTGCACAACCCAAACGGCATTACTTTAAATTGCCACAGACCCTTTCCCATCGAGAACGCAGTTTTCTCCTTGTCCTTAGGGTCAATTTCAACTTGCCAGTAGCCACTTTTTAGATCCAGCGTGCTAAACCACTTTACTCCTGTAAGCATGTCCAGCGTGTCATCAATTCTTGGCAAGGTATACCTGTCCTTCTTCGTAACGTCGTTCAGACGGCGGTAGTCAACACAAAACCGCATGCTGCCATCCTTCTTCTTTACCAGCACCACGGGTGAACACCATGGACTAGAGGAAGGTTCAATAACACCATCCTTCACCATTCCTTCAATCATGGTTTCTACTTCCTTTTCACGTGCTACCGGCAATCTTCTTGGCCACTGACGGATAGGTAATTCTTCTCCTGTGTTTATTTTGTGTTGAACTAAGCCAGTCTTTCCTATGTCAGCATCATTTGATGAGAATACATCGGCGTGCTTGAGTAACAACTTCTTTGCCTTGACCATTTCGTTCGGGGAGAGAACGCTGCGACAGTCTTCTAAAAGTGTGCTCACTCTCGTTTGTGCATCCTTGCTGGGGGTCCCAGTCGATAGATATTGGCACCGACGTAGCCAATCCACTTCCTCACAAGTACCAACCAGTGTGCCTTTTTCTATAATCTGTTCCTGGTCACAAAGGTTCAGCACACGTACTCCTGAGATGTTAGTGGTCCTGACCAAGGTTCGAGCCACTTTCCATGAAAGGTCATTGTCTAACCTTTCCACGAGTACACAACGATGAGGTTGTCCAGGATTCCGAGGAAAACTAACCGGCACAATCGTTTCCGATCTCGGCGGAAGAACAATCTTCTTAAGGCTGTACACGTTGCCTGGTAACGCCCCTTCGACAAAAAGTTCCTCTTGTCCACACTTCAAAACACCTTGCTTAACGTCAATCGCACAACAATTCTTCCTCATGAAGTCTAGGCCCAGGATGCAGTCGTCCATTATATCAGCCACGATGACATTATGCAGGTAGATCATGTTGCCTAGTTTCAACTCATCTCTTTCTCTCCACGGACGGGTATACGCTGACCTTGTATATACCAAATTAATGCGTTCTCAGTTGTATGCGGAGTCCCCAAGAACTGACTTATAAGTTGGGAACTAACAACCGTACGAGAGGCTCCAGTATCTATGGTCAGTTTACACGGCATTCCGTTGACCTCGCCCTTGATGATCAGACTGTTCCCATCATGGGTTTGTGAAATCGAGATCCTTGGGGCTCTATTAACATCAGCCAGCACCCACCCCGCAGTTCTGGCTTTTACTCGTTTCCCTGCTGCTGCTGGGCGGGGCTGTTAGCCACACCGCCCTCCTGATATCGTTCACCTTCCCTATCTACGGTTCGCTTAGGGCAGCTGGATCGAAGATGGCCCCTTTCCCCACAGCCATAGCACCTAGGACTGTATCCTTTATTGCGGTCGCGAACCGTAGCTGCTGCAAACCCCCTGACGCGATGGGAGCGAAGATCCTGCCGCACGGCTTCCACCTCCAGTGCATGGGCCAGGCGTCCTTAAGCGTCTCGTGGTGCCCGAGCCTCATAGCGGCTCTGACTTCAAGTCGTCGATGAATGTCTGAACCAGGTTCCCTTCAATGAGCGAAGGTACAGACTGGTATGCTTTTCGAACCATCTTCTCCACCTCAAGGGCCCACTACTGCAGGTTTTCGTTGCTGCGTTGCACGCGATCTTTAAGCTGCGCGCGAGAGACGTGTTCCAGGTGAGCGTCGCCATATCTCGCCTCCAACGCCTCAAGGAGCTGCTCATAGGTCACTTTCTTACCGAGAGCTTTCAACACTTCCAAGTTAAGGCTTGGTCGCGCAGGCCTAGGGTGAGTGCAGTCATGGCTTGGCTTTTATTCCAGCTGTTCGCCTCCATGACGGCCTCGAACTGGATTTTGTAGGCCGACCAGGAAGAAGTCCCGTCGAACGGCGGCACTTTGAATCCACGTAGCGAAGGTGTTGTAGCTACTACGGGAGCTGTTGTTCCATCCCCAAGTTTGAGGTCGTCCAGCGTTTTCTTCACGTTAGCCATCACGTTGTCAACCCGATTGTTCACTTGGTCGATTCGGGTTTCAACTTTCTCGATTCGGGTTTCAGCTTTAGCGATTTGGGTT